ACATTCCAACCTACAGGATCAGAGCTGACAAAATACTGTATGAGTATACCAAATCAAACTTCCGAAACTATAGCGGAAGCATTTGTTGACCGTTTTATCTGTATTTTTGGAGCACCAAAGGCCATATTAACAGATCAAAGAAGAAATTTTATCAGTGATTTAATGAAAAAAGTTGCAAAATTATTTAAAATTCGCAAATTTCGCACAACTTCTTTTCATCCACAATCTAACGAATCCTTAGAAAGATCGCATCATGCATTAAGAGAATATTTAAAACAATATGCGAATGAACAAAAGTAATGGGATAGATAGATAAACCTTGCAATGTTCAATTATAACACTAGCGTACACAAAGCAACCAAACATACACCGTACGAATTAGTCTTTGGAAAAATAGCCAGAATTCCTTCGAACGAACTTCTATCTCCGAACGATCAATTAGCAACTTATGACGACTATTTAATAAACCTCGTGACGCAACTTCACACTATTCAAAGGAACGCTCGCGAAAACGTCATCGAACTAAAACATAAATCAAAAAAGTACTACGATAAGAAGATTAACCCTCAAAATTTTAAACCAGGAAATCACGTTCTTTTAAAGGGTCCGAAACCAGGAAAATTCGGAGACCATTATACAGGACCTCACGAAGTGTTGAAAATACTAAATAAAAATAATGTAAAAATTAAAATTAAGAAAAACAACTGGATTGTACATCCTAACAGATTACGCATTTCTCACATAAAAACGATTGACAATTAATCAAACCTAGCAGGAAATTAAACAAATAAAAATAAGAAAAGGCAGCAATTACCACACCCCCCCCCTCCTCGAATCTCATCATACAACAAGAAAGGCATACCGCCAACGACGAGAACTACCCCCTCCATATTTCATCAATTATCAGAAAAGGCATACCGCCTATGACAAGATTCACCCCCCCCCTTTGTTTTCTTCGAACACCAAGTAATAAGTCATTTTAATTCATCGTAGAAAATGGAGATCCAGCATATAGATATGGACTACTTCACTCGCAGTCGGCTGAAGGTAATTATAATAAAAGCGGAGTCGCCACTCCTTTTCTGGGTACAATTAAAAAACAGCAGGAAGGATTTTTTCGAAATGGAACAGGAACTCCAGTTCCGTATGGCTAAGTTCTTATACATTCCGTAAGAGCTAAGTTCTTATACATACTCCCAGAACATATGAGAGGAAATATGCAAGTCGTAATAAAAGACCACAAAACCTGGCGACGAGAGTTTATTAAGAGCATAAACAACAATACAAAAACAGTTCAGGTAATACTCGAATTGGGGAAGAACAGTTCGTTTGCCGCATGCCCAATGTACATATGTATGTTATACCTGCTCGAAGATCATTTTAAGGAACTACCGTGGCAAGCCTTATTGTTACGTATAAAATAAAAAACTCATAATTATAAACCGTTCAACACACACGCACACGTGTTATACACGCAATCCCGGCGATGGATCGAAACCAAACTATCGGGGCAATAAACAAACAGAAAGATAAACGCTGCGATGGTCGCAGTGGATCTCATTACAAAGAGACTGCCGACACTCGTACGCGATTTGTCAACATGCGACTCTATCGACACGAGACAAAGACCTTAGATTCGACTCTATAAAGACGTCCGGCCAGGACAAGGACTTTATTTCGGAAGAAATCACGAGAGAGTACACATTGTTCGAAATTGAGCTCGTTTTTATCACATCGTTTAGTTGCGTGCATAACGGTTCAGAAGATTAACCTCCCAGGCGATACCAGAATACGTGTGTGCATTGTTCGACTGAAGGTGCAAACCTCCAGGCGTTGTCGTGAACAATAATCGATTTATTCGGACTCAGGGTATTCATACCTCCAGGCGGTGTCACAAGTTCGCATTTGGACTCAGGATATTCATAACCCCAGGCGGTGTCACAAGTTCGCATTCGGACTCAAAACACTCATAGTTAGAAGCGAGAGTGAAAACGAGACAGTGAATTGTATGACAAATTAATAAACTGACTTAAACACGACGTGAATGTTAATTTATTCACATCGACCACAAAACATTTGGTGCCTCCTGTGAGGTCCTCTGAGGCAGAGGACCAGCGTGTGCGAGAAAAAACAACATTCGACATTCATCCAAAGAACCAAGACGAATTGTCTGGATAATTATTAGCTGCGTACCTTTACGAAGGATAAAGGGTGAATCGTTCGATCGTCCTACTAATTCCTATTTTCATTTTATTCGTCCCTTGTTCATAAATTTACAACAATGTCCGAACGAGTTAAATTTTTATTACAAAAGCGAACGTCGTTAAAATCTTAGATTACGATTCTAAATAATCTTTTGGATAAAGGTAATTTAGATAATACCAATATAAAATTACGCATGACGCATTTAATGACTTTATATCACGCATTTGAAGAGTTAAATGATGAACTCATAATATCAGAACCGAACGGGTGTCATCAAGATGAATTTGAGAACATTCAGGAACGCTTTTATTTGCTTGCCAGCAAAACTGAAAATTATTTACATCCTGTAGACGAGTCCAGTAATACTCACGACGTGTCGAGTGATGATAATCCAACGAATCGATCGACTTTGTCAACGACTAATACAGGGCGTCGTATTAAATTACCAGTAGCACCTTTGCCGATATTTGACGGCAAATTTGAAAGTTAGCTTTCATTCAAGAACGCGTTCCGTAATTTAATTGATTCACAAAACGACTTATCTGACATAGATAAACTACATTATCTTAAATCTTCATTACAAGACGAAGCCGAAAATAAAATAAAAATCTTTGCAATTGACGGTATAAATCACGCGAAGGCATTGAGGTTTTAGAAAGAGCATACGAGGTAAAACGAATATTAATTTCGCGACATCTTTCGATGATATTAAATCTGCCTACGTTAGACAAAGAAACTACAGATGGCTTAACCAAACTTGCAGACGACACACAGCAACATCTTGCCTCATTAAGTGCATTAGGAGTTACAGTAGAACCGGAAATGATCGTTCACGTTCTCGAGAACAAAATGCCAAAGGTCACATTAGAAAGATGGGAAGTATCTCTTCAGAGAGACGAATTTCCGTCGCTAGATCAATTATACGAGTTTTTATATAAAACCGCGGTATGCGCATCAAGGCGAGATCGATCGAAATTAACGGAAAGCGATAAAACGAAATACGAACCTCCGACAAAAAGAAAACGAATCGGGTACTCTAATCGAGCTCTCTTATTGAACGTCCAAGAATTGCGTATGCTGTCACAACAAACGACATCCGCTATACAAGTGCGATAAATTTAAACAAACACCAACTCAAAAACGCATCGATTTAGTAAAGATGGCAGGTCTATGTTACAATTGTTTACGTTCTCATCGCGGCACGCCGTGCAAATTTTCAACTTGCACGATATGTAAAAAACGTCATAATTCTCTATTACATTTCGATAAATTCGCGAGTACAGCGAATAAAAATGATGTGACACAATCCGAAGCGTCTAAATCCGATTGATTAATCGTTTCGACCAGAGGGAGAACAATAAGCCTCGCGACAATAACGCCCACCTTTACGCCGCAATTATTAACCAGCGCATTGATATACATTCGCGACAATAGAAATAAACTAACAAAATGCCGTGCGTTGTTAGACACATGTGCTACGACGAATTTTATATCTGAATCCTGTGTCCGTCGATTAGACTTGCATACGTTGAAACAGTCAATTCCGGTCGGCGCAATCATTTCTATGAATTCAGAATCGGAAGGTATCGTGCAAATTACCATACAATTCAAAGTGAGTTTTGTAAGACTCTAACGTGTCTAACATTACCGGTTATCACGGACTTAATTCCGTCTGAAGCATTTCCTCGAGGTGCTATTAAAATACCTCGAAATATTAAATTAGCAGATCCGGAATTTTATTTACCACGCACGATCGATTTATTAATAGGGTCGGGGGCTACTTTGTCATTACGGTCATACTATCGGTCGGTCAAATTAATTTGTCACACGACAATCATGATTTATACATACAAAAAACACTACTGGGATGGATAGTCGCGGGTAGTAATCCTATGCAGAACATAAATAAATTTTCGTCGTGTTACTTAACGAGTTTAGAAAATCAGCTGGCTAAATTTTGGAACATCGAAGAAGTCGCGATAACCAAATCTTGGTCAGAAAAATAAAAGGAGTGTGAGACATACTTCACAAAGAATGTAAAACGTAACGATGACGGACGCTACGTGGTTCGTTTACCATTTCGTAAAGTAAACAAGCGTATCGGCGAAGAGATCTTAAACGCCTAGAATCATTAGAACGTAAATTGAATAGAGACGCAACGTTGAGTTTAAAATATACATAAGTAATAGAGGAATACAAACAATTAAAGCACCTGTCGTTAATCGAGAACATAGATAGTGATGGATTTTATATGCCTCATTACGCGGTAATAAAGCATTTAAATAACACTACGAAAGTTCGGGTTGTATTCGACGCGTCATCAAGATCAATTAACGGCGTATCACTAAATGATTTATTAATGGTAGAACCGACAATCCAAGAAACTTTATTTTTGCATCTGATTAGATTCCGGACATACAATTACGTTCTCACAGCTGGTATAGAAAAAATGTATCGTCAGATACTATTGCACAAAGACGATCGTCGATATCAACGAATTTTATGGCGTGAGAACGGTACGATAAAAAGATTTCAATTAAACACGCTCACATTCGGAGTTTCTTCGTCGCCATTTCTCGCGATTCGCGTTATACAGAAACTCGCGGATGACGAAAGCAACGCTTATTCTAGGGCAGCTAAGATTTTAAAAAATCACTTATATGTAGACGATTTATTGACGGGAACCGCCTCTGTAGAGAAAGCTCGGGGTATCCGAGACGAGATAATCACATTATTATCGCGTAGCGGATTTTCCATAAGACAATGGGCATCCAATAACCCAAACATAATTAGCGATGTATACGATAAGAGACGATCATTCCTTAAAGACATTAGGCATATCGTGGAACACCCGTTATGATACAATATGTTATTCGGCACGTCCAATCGAAATTACAGATACGATAACCAAAAGAAAGATTTTATCAGAAATCGCTAAGATCTATGATCCTTTAGGTTTGTTAGGTCCCGTGATCTTATATGCCAAGCAATTATTACAAGATTTATGGCGATGCAGAATACATTGGGACGAATCTGTCCCGCAAAATATTCATACAAAATGGTCCGAGTTTATTCTACAATTAAAATCAATACGCGAAATCACTTTCAATCGCAAGTTATTCGCAAATGATTATGATAACATTCAATTACATGGTTTCTGCGACGCTAATAATACAGGGTATGGGGCATGTATTTACATCCGTTCGGTGGATAAATATAAGAGAATCGTCAGCAAATTATTATGCGCTAAATCTCAAGTCTCCCCGATAAAACCAGTTACTATACCGCGACTCGAACTGTGCGGATCACTATTGTTGGCTAGATTATATCGCGAAGTAATTCACGCACTCAATATCACACCCGACAAAACATTCTTTTGGAGCGATTCAACGATTGTTTTGCATTGGTTGAAAACGCCTCATTTATTAAAAACTTGCGTTGCAAATCGTGTCACAGAAACACGCGAACTTACTGAGTCAGGTATTTGGCGTTATACTCGATCAGAAGACAACCCGGCAGACGCGATTTCAAGGGGTCAACTACCTCATGCTTTCTTGCGTAATACAACATGGCGTTCAGGACCGTCATGGTTAGTTAAAGACAAAAATAATTGGCCCGACGATATTATACAAACCGTAGAAATTCCCGAATTGAAAAATAATACCAGTCTCACAATAACATATAACGGACTAGGAATATTTGAAAAATACTCTTCGTATTCACAAGGTTATGCAGAATCGTTGCTTTATGTCTCGGGTGAGACCGATCAATCAATATCGCGGCCCCTTATGTGCTAAGAAAATAAACGAAGCAGAAATACGTGTGATACGATTTCTTCAAACCAATCAATATCCAGTCGAAATAAAAAAACTCGAAAACAAACAATCAGTTTACAAGGGCAAATTCGCAAATTTAAATCCATTCATAGATGAGGATGGCATAATTCGAGTCGGGGGTCGTCTCAAGTTATCGAAATTAACATTTGCGCGTAAGCATCCTATGCTACTTCCTAGTCGGAATCGTCTTACAGACCAGATTATACGCGAAATACACAAAAATACCATCATTCAGGAATTCAGACTACGTTATACATACTCAGACAAAAATTCTGGTTACTCGACGGCAGAAATCAAGTTCGAAAAATAATACGCACATGCGTACGTTGTGCGCGATTCGATGCTCAATCAGTAGAATATAAAATGGGTAATCTCCCGTCAGTTCGCGTAAGTGAAGTAATACCCTTTGACAACACTAGTTGTCCTGTACCTTTGGTACAGTAAACAAACGCCTTTAAGCCAGCGTGTATAAATTAACCCATACAGCACCGATAGATTGCAAAAACATTACAACAATCTTTCACCGCAATATTGCAATATTGCAAATTTACTGCAAAATGTTGCTACATCATTGCTGTTGAATTGCAGCAATGTTAAAATGTCCGCTTTTTGGAAGATTGCAACAAAATATTACAACAATATTGCAATGTTATGAATTTGCAATAATGCATTGTTATTGCAACCATAAACTAATGTTGCATATACAGGTATATAAATGTAAATAAATCATTAATATGAAAATACGTTGTAATTAATTTATATATATTACAATATATAAATTATAGAATTTGGATTACATGCAATATTTCCGAAATATTAATGTCATGTTGCTACAAGTGTGCTGGAATTTTGTGCACCTATATCTCTGCAATGTCTTTATAATGTTGCATTGCAACTTGCAACATTGCAACGTTGCTGCAATATAATTGCAATAATCTGTGCTGTATGGGAAGAGTTTAACAAGGCTCTGTAATATAACATTAATATATATAACAGAGAAAAGTATAGAATCGAAGGGATCTGAATAGTTCAGTTGGAAGAGCAGTCGCCCGGCAAGCGAAAGGTCTCGGGTTCGATTCTCGATTCAGCGACTTTCGGATCTATATTTTTCTCTTGCATTCATTTATTTATTTCCGTAGGGGGGTTAAAGGGTTATTGAAATTAAATCTCAAATATGAGATTATTTCATATTTTAAAATCTTGGCCGTGTCCAAGTAAAATTTGGTGCCTTGTGCACCGGTATTTAATTCTAACGAAAAAATTTAGTTTCGTTAGGATAACGCACTGTCATCCGCGATTTGGCTCTTATTGCCTGTCTTATACGTTAAATTTATATTTATATTACAGAGCCTTGTTAAACTCTTAATGTTAAAATTATTGTAAATCCATAGTATAAATTTAAGGAGGTGTATTGAATTTAGCGGTAAATTTATATTACGTATATGTATGTAGATGTCACTAATTGTAAGTAAGTAGATATAAGAAAACTCCCTTAAGAGGCGCTAGCGTAAGCAACGAGGTGAGCAGCGCCAGGGACGCGGCTAAGCTCCCTCTCTGATTTAGAACGTAGAGGAGAACAGACGTATAGAAAGTCAGCGGCATGTAATAGACACAAGAAAGGATAAGTTATAATAAAAACTGTATACTAAGAGAATATACTATAATTGCAAGAACTAAATCCGACATCCCCGCGCACCTATTAAAATAATATTGTTACGTCCTCCGGACGTTCTTTCTCGCAAAAGACGTCTCTCGCACACACTCTCACTCACTCGCGGCTCGCGAAATAAATACACTCTCTTATGAAGAAATGATCCTTTATACAATGATGAAATACAATGACTAATGTACACGCGAAAGAAAGAAGATTGCTCTCTGGTCAAGTCACGTCCGTACGAGATGACAGCTAGACCAAAACTGTCATGGAGCCTGAAAACAACCACCGGGCGGTTGTCAATAAACAACCCCCCTTAACGATGAAGCTCCACGACACAAGGGATGATATTCAGGGGATGAAAGATCAGGGACGTAACACTGCCCCCCTTCTTCAAGATTGTCGTCCCGACAATCAAAAACAGAGGGCTATCCAACGCTGTACAATAACTCTGCATTCCGATGCCGACCTCAGGACTCCGACGAATTTTCTTGTTCTACCCTGGGCTCCTGCCACAGGTTACCAAACAATCCGCCATTCTGGATCCCGTCGCACATCCGTTGGACTATATTCGCCAATCCAAGTCCACAGTACAACTGTATCAATTGTCGATTCCAGGGCACCGACGAGTCTTCCTGCCCTACCCTGGGCTGCTGCCGCAGGTTACCGAGCGACTCCGTCAATTTGGTCCCAATCGACTTTCAAAATTCCTTGAAGATAAGTCCCAGTCTCCCTTCGTCCTCCGGTTCAGACAAGGGGGGGGTATCTTCCGTGGACCCATCGTCCCTCATGGACTCCCCAAGTCCCTGTCTCGGCATTTGCCCAAAGTCCCGCGGGAAAACCACGGATCAAAAACCGCGGGCAAGACAGTCTTCTTAGAGTAGAATAAAGACGGATGAAGATTTTCTCCCTCGAAGACTAAGCTGGGAGATCAATTTTTCCGCCATTCAGGAAACTCTTCTCAGGTCAAAGACAAATTTCTTTCCAAATTGAAGACTCTGTAACGAAAAATAAAATGCGCAGTAACTTATTCTATTTTTTTTAAATTAAAACATCCCCCCGAATTTTTAAATGAAAATCGACATTTTCGGGCTCCAATCTACTTAATTATTTTTCTAAACTTCTCTCGAGAAAAGGAGCTAATCTATCTGAATGTACAATTTTCCTCTTATGTCTAGACGATCTTTCTATGCAAAACACCACGTCACTAAGTTTTTTTACTATCCGGAATGGACCTTCCCAACTTCCTTGTAATTTCGGAGCTTTCCCTTTAACCCTACGAGGATTATAAAACCAAACCTTCTGTCCTACTTCGAAAAGAATTCCTCTGGCACTACGATCATAACGAATCTTCATCTGAGAAGATTTCAGATTCATTCGCTCTCTAACCGAAGAATGAATTTCTTTTAATTTCTCTTTTAGATTTCTAGTAAAATTTTTTCTTGGAAGTCTTCCTTCAGAAGATTCAGGATTTCCTCGTAAAAGATCCACTGGTAACCTTAGTTCCCTACCAAAATATAGCTCTGCCGGAGTCACGCCAGTGGTTTCATGCTTCGAAGATCTGTAAGCTAAAAGAAACATGGGAATCCATCGATCCCAGTCTTTTTGATCTTCCGATACGTATTTCGCTAGGAAATTTGAAATAGTCTGATGTTGGCGTTCTACTTGTCCGTTAGATTGAGGATGCAAGGCGGTAGTTCTGGTTTTTCTTATCCCGAGTAATTTCATTAATTCTGAAAAAAGTTGTGATTCAAAATTCTTCCCTTGATCAGTGTGAACTTCACTTGGAATTCCATGCCTTGAGATAAATTGATTAACAAAGACTTCAGCGACCATTTTAGCTCTGATATTTTTAATAGGAAAAGCCTCCACCCATTTAGTGAAGCAATCTACGATAACAAGCAAATATTTGTTTCCGGATCTTGTCAAAGGAAGAGGACCAAGTATGTCCATCTGTATTCTCTCTAATGGAGCTCCAACGTTAAAAATTTGTAGAGGAGATTTCCCTTTTCCTGAAGGACCTTTTTTTGAAACACAGATTTTACAGGTTTTGCACCATTCCTCAACATCTTGTTTGCAGGTTGCCCAGAAGAATCGTTTTCGAATTTTTCCTAGAGTCTTATTGGCTCCGAAATGTCCTCCTGTTGGAGAATCATGCGTCTCCTCTAATATTTCCTTTATTCGTACTCGAGGAACCACGAGTTGGAGAAAATTTGATTTTAAATTTGGAGCTTCCCATTTTTTATAGAGGATCCCATTTTTCACAATCAAAGAATCCCAATACGACCAATATATTAGAGTTGAAATGTCCTCTCCGACTATTTCTGAGCGTGGGGGACGAATTTTTGTTTCCTTGGCACGAAGAATAAATGAAATGTCAGGATCTTGTCGTTGCATTTCACGCCAATTTTCCAAATTTTCGCCTTCGAACACAATACGAGAAACTGTTTGTTCCCTCTCCTCTGAATTTTTCTTTTCCACTTTTGCACAATATTGACAATTGTTTGATTCACAAAGTCTTCTAGACAATCCGTCAGCATTATTGTGAGAAATCCCTTTACGATAGATAATCTCAAACTCGTATTGCTGTAATCTCTCCATCCATCGAGCTAATTGACCTTCCAAATCTCTGAAAGATAAAAGCCATCGTAACGAAACATGATCCGTACGGATTAAAAACTTTTGTCCCAAAAGATAATGACGAAAAAATTTTATAGAATCTACTATCGCTAAAAGTTCCCGGCGAGTAACGCAATAGTTCCGTTCGGCTTTATTAAGCACACGACTAAAATAAGCAATTACTTTCTCTTCTCCATCTTGTTTCTGAGACAACACTGCACCGATTCCTATATTCGACGCGTCGGTATCTAATAAAAATTCTCCCTTTTCCCTTGGAAAAGAAAGAATTGGAGAAGAACATAATAAAAACTTTAACTTTTCAAAAGCTTTTTGACATTCATCTCCCCATATGTATTTAATTTGACCTTCTGTCAACATGTAAAGGGGTTTAGCTAAGGAAGAGAATCCTTTAACAAATTTACGATAATAAGAACAAAATCCCAGAAAACTTCGTAATTGTTTTTTTGTGTGAGGTATTGGCCAATCTTTAACAACGGAAATCTTATCGGGATCTGTAACAACGCCCTCCGCGGAAACCACATGACCCAAATATTTTACAGTTTTACTAAATAACACACATTTCTTCGGATTTATTTTTAAATTTGCTTCTCTTAATCGTAAAAATACTGTTCTAAGATTGTTTATCATTTCAGTAAAACTTTTCCCAAAAATTATCACATCATCCAAA